ATGCGCCATCCCTCCTGCCCTCCCCCAGCCACATGCGGAAACCCCTCCACCTTACATATCATGCGCCATCCCTCCTGCCCTCCCCCAGCCACATGCGGAAACCCCTCCACCTTACATATCATGCGCCATCCCTCCTGCCCTCCCCCAGCCACATGCGGAAACCCCTCCACCTTACAAATTATGCGCCATCCCTCCTGCCTCCCCCGCCTTACGCATCAACCCCATCTACCTCTACTTTACATATTATGCGCCATTCCTCACGCCCTCCCCCGCCTTACGCATCAACCCCCCTCTACCTCTACCCTACATATTATGCGCCATTCCTCCAGCCCTCCCCCCGCCCCCGCCGCACGCGCGATGGCACGTCCCTGTCCCCTTGCTCGGCATGTTTACCGGGACATGCTGACTTCGTCGGCGCGGTGCCGCGGCGGACCTCACGCTATCCGCACGTGCAGCAATAATACTCGCACACTCACTCACACACACACTCACTCACTCACTCGCTCGCTCATTCACACACTCACCTTCGAGAAGATTTCGTCCTCGTTGTATCCGAGGCTGCGCATGTGGTTCAGGTAGGTGGTCGTGATCGGTATGCTGAAGTCTATCGCCGGCGACTCGGGCCGCTTGCGCACGGGAGAGTCGCGGGCCTCGCCGTTCTCCGAGCCTGATCCTGCGCCATGCATGCGCTTCTGGCAGTCCTCGCAAGACATGAGGAAGCGGGTGACGGCCTCTCGCGGCAGGAAAGCGTAACGCTCGGCGATCTGTGTTGTGTTGCACGCGCGTAGGCGAGAGCCGCAGCGAGTGAGACACAGAGAGAGAGAGAGAGCGGCCACTTAAAAATTTGTGTGTAGGGGCAGGGGAGTTGACGGCGCGCACGCGTGTGTGTGTGTGCGTGCGTGCGTGTGTGTGTGTGTGTGTGTGTGTGTGTGTGTGTGTGTGTGTGTGCGTGTGCGTATGCGTGGCGTGTGCGTGTGCGTGTGCGTGTGCGTGTGCGTGTGCGTGTGCGTGTGCGTGTGGCGTGTGCGTGCGTTGCGTGTGCGTGTGGCGTGTGCGTGTGCGTGTGCGTGTGCGTGTGCGTGTGCGTGTGTGTGTGTACCAGTGTGTATTTTTCTCTGTCTGTTTGTATGTGCGTAGGTATATATTGTATCCTATATAGTGTTGGGGTGGGGGGTTAAACACATCCGATTACGTTGTGAATTCGGCGTACGCTATAGCCCCAAACCAGACATGCATGCAGGCTCCGACACGCACAATAGGTTACACGCCAAACGTTATACAAAGCTATATAGCTTGTACAACATGCATAATCACATTTTAATTTCAGATCTGAATAATTATAAACTATGATATCATTATTAACATGTATGAATAATTATGAATAATTATTGTTAATTATACTGATCTCATCTTTTAATATGGCGCCAGAAACATGTGCAACTTGTTACAAGTTATTATGTCAGATTATACTGCGGAAATTATTCGTCTGTAGTATTTGATAATCTAATTTTCCCGCTCTTCCTCCCTTTTCTTCACATGTTCCATTATTTCTCTGCTTTTCCATATGTTGAAATTCACTACGGAAATTTCCTGGGGAGCAAATCCCTTGGGTGGCTTTAACCATTCGCACGCGCAACGGGCCTATATTTGCATGATCGGTTAGCTGTTTCTGGTTGTTCTCGCAAAATTAAACCTCGTCTCGCGAGATTTGAGAAACGAAAATAAAACGTTGACAGTATTTAATCACTACCGTTTTTGGTCGCTAAAAGTAGCGCTCGACTTTTTTGCGGTGTCATAAAGTTACCACAGACACGAAACGCTGCCACGGGTGCATGTCGCTAAGTGGCTACAAATGTTTGAAACGTTTTACAGATATTCAATTTAATATCAGCACAGTTTGGCTCGTGTACAGATGGAGCTATACATCGCGTAGTGCGTGCCAACAGCGAGAGATGGCGCTGAAAGTATGTTCCTTCAACAAATGCCACTCTATGCTCTGTCCAGTAATCCGAGCCATGCGGTAAATATACGATAATCTTTAAGCGTTAGGAATAAAAATAAAGATAATAGAATTGCAATAGGGTAAAGCATGCAGGAAGCACAGCTCGAACCTTCCACTCGGCAGCAGGCACAAATCCGCTGATTTTCTGTCATTCTGTAGCTCTATGCTTATGGGTGCTTAATGGCCTCAGTGCATGTGTTACACTAGTTTCGTTTGTCCAGTAAAGCAAACGAGTTCGCTGCTATGCGGGCGAGGTTGTTCGCCTTACACCAGCGAGATAAACCCATTTCTACACCAGCTGTCGACTGAAGTAAATCGTGATAAAGTGCCTTGCTCAGGGGCACAACGGCAGTGGCCACGGTCGGACGTGAACTCCAGACTTATTAGCTGTATAGTTAGGATTAAACGTATAGACGACCCAGAGCAAGCCGCTTACGATAGATTACGATTCAGACGAACATCTCTGAAGAAACCTATAGTAACTTTCCTACTGCATGGCCTATCTTTCCTTCTGACCATATACAGATTGCTAATAAAGTGAAATAATTAAATCGGTGCTGTACGTGGTTTATTGCGGGATATCAATGAGGTTCGTAATTATCTAACGTAATCTAGCCGAGAACACAATCGAAAGGTTAATTAAGAGCTGTTAATTTTTAGACTCCCCCATCCGTTTTGGATTTGGTTCCCGTCGTCAAAAACGTACGAGTTAAATGTCAGATTAGACGTTTATGGCCACTTTATTCATTATTGTTATTCAAACATGTTAAAGTCAGCATAAAGTTAACATACATGCATTTCAATAGTTGTCAGCGCGTAATTTTTATGCCTATATTATTGCATTATGCAATTATTATTATATTATTATTATGATGATTATTATTATTATTATCAATTATTATTATTATTATCATCATCATCGTCGTCGTCGTGATCATTATCCTTACCGCTTTGTAGGTGCGCTTCTGGCCAGCATGCTTGCCTCCTCGGCCGTCCGTGCCCACATGAACATCGTATATAATATCCAGAAAGTCTTCGACCACAGCGACCCGCTTGTAGCCCCTCTCTGCGCCGTCGTCATTGTCTTCAGCCGTCTGTGAAAAGTACATGATTCATGATTATAAGACCTTTTTTAGGCTTCTAACAGCTACAAAAAAGTTACTTCCAGTTCCACCGTTCTCTTATTAATTTTCGCTTAAGCGTAACGATTCAGTGTATAATGTAATTTACGTATAAAACAATGTATGATTTATAAGCTTTGCTTCTGTTTATTTGTAAAATGTTTGCAATTCAAAAGAGAGCTTTTGTTTGTCAAATGTAAAATAGGTAAAGTATTCCACATTTGCTCGCTGCGTTTGTGCTGCAACAGTGTTGGTGCCGCCATCTAGTGGTCGTTTAGCGAATGTAGTGATATTGGTTTCGAGATATTCGAGTTCGGCGTTTGCTACGCCTATCCTATATTTATGCTCATATTACACGTGACTTCTACAAAAGGGGTGAGAGAAAAGTATAAGAAGCGTCCTGAAACCACTAGCACTAGAAGTGTGCGGTTTTTGTCGACAATTATATCTAATATGCCGCCCTATGAAGCTGTTTATGTTTGCATCAGACTGCTGTGATAGTCACAAAACCTAAATCAAAGAATTGTGTTGAAGTATGATCGATAAATTAGCGTTCATATTTGTAATCTAATCAAACCGCGATACTACGAATCTCTATTAAAATTCGTTGAGTAAACCCTCGACCATGGAAGACAAACTCGTGCAGGAAAATCGCGTCGCCGTCTCACGAATCATTCCGAATTTAAACGTTGGCTCTGTGTTTCGCAAATGACCGCGCCGAGTCCGACATTTCGGCGCTTCCTCATTTCTGATCGGAGAGGAATAACAACCGATGAACAGTTACTACTTCTCCCAGTATCGTTGTATGGCTGACACCAGGCGCCACCTGGAGGGAGGAACCGCAAATTTGCGAGTTTCATCTGCCCTCATGCCGCATGCTCTCTTTCGACATACCCCCCTTCTCTCTCTGTCTCGCTCTCGCTCTCTCTCTCTCTCTCTCTCTCTCTTGCTTCTCTCTCTTGCTCTCGTTCTGCTCTCTCTCTCTCTCTGCTCTCTTCGTCATCTCTCGTCTCTCTTCTCTCTCTCTCTCTATTTTCTCTCTGCTCGTCATCTCCTCTCGAAAATGACAAAAGGACCACGCGTCGATCTTTACATGGCTTACACGACCGTAGAGAGTCCCTCACACACGCCGCGGTCACGATGTCTCGCATAACGATACGCGCAAGCAACGGAAAGACGGCGCTTGACGCCGCGTCTTTCAACTGAAAACACCGCGTCATTTAACCGCAAACGCCGCGTCTTTTAACTGCAAACGCCGCGTCTTTTAACTGCAACCGCCGCGTCTTTCAACTGCAAACGCCGCGTCTTTCAACTGCAACCGCCGCGTCTTTCAACTCCAAACACCGCGTTTCTTGGCGACAAACGTCGGCTCTATGAGAACACGTGGCGCGTCGACGCTCAGACGTCGGCGTTTGGTCGGCAGGCGTCGCACGATTGCTGGGCGTTATCCGTCGGCTACTGTCGGCCACGTCGGCAGGGATCGCTCGCGCGCTTCGTGTTTGTACGTGTATCTATTATTTATTTTTATGTCTCGCGTCGCTCGGCCGTCGCTCGCGTCACTGCGAGCAAAGTGCCTCCGTCTGCAGATACCCGCGGGGCCGTCGTCAGCGTCCCATCGTCATCACCATGTTGCGTCTGGTGTTGTCACTATCGTCAACGTCCCATCGTCATCACTATCATACGACTGCTGTTGTCACTATCGCCAGCGTCCTATCGTCATTACCATGATGCGTCTGGTGCTATAGCTATTGCCAGCGTCTCCTCGTCATCACTCTGACACTCCCGATGTTGTCGCTATCGTCAGCGTCCCATCGTCATCACTCCGATACGTCGATTGTTGTCGCTATCGTCAGCGTCCCATTGTCATCATTCTGACACTCCCGATGTTGTCGCCATCGTCAGCGTTCCATCGTCATTACTCTGAAACTTCTGATTTTGTCGCTATCGTCAACGTCCCATCGTCATCACCACGACGTTGTTGTTGTCGTGAGCGTCGCATCGTCATCTCTGTGACGTTGTTGCTAGCGTGAGCGTCGCATCGTCACTCTTCCGACGTTGTTGCTATCGTCAGCGTCGACTCGTCACCGCTGCTGTTAGCGCAGCATTAATCGGCCCAGCAGCGCAGCGACGGCTTAGCTCTCGTGCCGCCACGCCGCGCACGGCAGGCGGGGACGGCACGACGCGTCTATATTTTAATACGCGCACGACGCGCCTGAATTATTTATGTATACGCGCATCCCGGATGGCGGGCCGCGAGAGCGCAAGAGCTAGTCGCGTCAGCGCCCGCCCAGCCTGCCCGTCTGCGTGCGCGCGTGCGTGCGTTCGTGCGTGCGTGCGCGCATACTTGTGTGCGTGCGCGCGGACCGACGTGCGGGCGGGTGATTGATCGTGCGTGCGTGCCTACATATGTGTACGTGCGTGCGTGCGTACGCGACCTCGTGCGGGCGATTAATTTATTTTTCGTGCGCGCGTGCGTGTATGTGCGTGTGTGAGGAGGGAGGACGGTCGGGTATGCGTCCGTCCGTCCGTCCATGCGTGAGTGCGGGCGGGCGGGCGAGCGAACGGGCGTGCATGTATGCATGATCAACCCAAGTCAGCCAATTCACGGCGACGATGACAGCACCAGCTAGCCAATCACGCGACGATGACATACCATCAGCAATCACAACGACCGAATGACAGCACCGAGTCCAGCCATCACGAACGACGTAATGACAGCACCAGTCAGCCAATCACGGCGACGATGACAGCACCAGTCAGCCAATCACGGACGATGACAGTACCATTCAGCCAATCACAACGATGGTTGTAGACCCAAGCAGCCAATCACGGCCACGATTATATGAGGTGGGATGATGCTTCTGTATGGGAATTGTGGGATGGTGGAACGTGGGGGGTGTTCATGTGTTGCATGCGAATAATGCTCGTGTGTGAAATGGTAAAATGATGGAGGGTAGAGAGATGCTTGTGTGTGCATGGGTGGTGGAATAGGTGAGGGGTGGGAAACGCTTCTGTGCGTGGTGTGAAATAGTGGAGGATGGAGAATACTTTTATGTGGTGTGGTTGGATGATGATGGTGGAGGGATGCTCGTGTATAGGGGGTGCTGAAATAGTGGAGGGTGGGGGATGCTTGTGTGTAGGGTGGTGGGGTATGCGGGGAGCTTGTGTGTAGGGTGGTGGGGTATGCAGGGAGCTTGTGTGTAGGGTGGTGGGATATGCAGGGAGCTTGTGTGTAGGGTGGATCGGGGCCTAATGCGAGCGGAGCCTTGTATGTAGGGTGGTGGGTATGCAGGAGCTTGTGTGTAGGGTGGTGGGGTATGCGGGGAGCTTGTGTGTAGGGTGGTGGGGTATGCGGGGAGCTTGTGTGTAAGGTGGTGGGATATGCGGGGATCTTGTGTGTAGGGTGGTGGGTATGCCGTGGCCGCCCCGGCCAAGCTTGTGTGTAAGGGTGGTGGGATATGCGGGGAGCTTGTGTGTAGGGTGGTGGGTCGGCGGACGGGAGCCTTGTGATGTAAGGTGGTGGGATATGCGGCGAGGGCTTGGTTTTTGTTGTAGGTCTCTGGGCTAATGCGGAGAGCTTGTGTGTAAGGTGGGGGTATGCGGGGAGCTTGTGTGTAGGAGTCGCTAGGGGGTAAGTGGCGGGGCAGCCATTGTGATGTAGAGGGTGGTGGTATGCGGAGGATCAGTGTGTGTAAGGCTGTGGGATATGCAGGGAGCTTCGTGTGAGGGTGTTGGGGTATGCGGGAATCATGTGTGTAGGGGGCGTACCACCAACGTGGACTAGAGCGGGGGGGACCACCGGACTCTGTGGGTACCCGGGAACCAATGTGTAGTAAGAGGTGGTGGGAATGCAGGGACCTGTGTTGTAGGCGTGGTGGGGGGTAAATGCCAGGGAGCGTTTGGTGTAGGCTGTCGAGATATGCGAGGCAGCTTGTGTGTAGGCGTGGTGGGTGTAAATGCGGGGCAGGGGCCTGTAGTGTCAGGTGGTGGGTATTGCGGGGAGCTTGTGTGTAGGGTGGTGGGGTATGCGGGGAGCTTGTGTGTAGGGTGGTGGGGTATGCGGGGAGCTTGTGTGTAGGGTGGTGGGGTATGCGGGAGCTTGTGTGTAAGGTGGTGGGATGCGGGGAGCTTGTGGTAGGGTGTATGGATATGCAGGGCAGGCTTGTAGTGCTAGGTGGTGGGTATGCAGGGAGCTTGTGTGTGCTATGGGTGGGTGGGAGTATGCCGGGAACGATGGTGTAAGGTGGGTGGGATATGCAGGGAGGCTTGTAAATGTTAAGGGTGTGGGGTATGCGGGGCAGCTTGTATCGTAGGAATGGTTGGGATGCGGGGAGCTTGTGTGTAGGCGTGGTGGGTATACGGGACTTTGTGTAAGTAGCGCAGGTGGTGGATACTGCAGGAGAGCTTGTCGTGCTAGGGTGGTGGGGTCAATGCAGAGAGACGTTGTGTGTAGGGTGGTGAATATGCGCGAGCTTGTCATGTAGGCGGTGGTGGGGGTAATGCGGAGGAGCTCGTATGTAGGCAGTGGTGGGGTCATGCGGCAGCTTGTGTGTAGGTGGTTGGGATATGCGGAGAGCTTGTGTGTACGGGGGTGGGAAATATGCGAGAGCCTGTGTGTGTAGGGTGGATCGGGTATGCGGGGAGCTTGCTGTTGTAGGGTGGGTGGGATATGCGGGAGGCTTGTAAGGTGTTTAGATAGTGATGGAGTAGCATAAGAATGGCTGAGTGTCGTAGGATGTGTGTGTGTGGGGGGGGGAGGTGGAAGGTGATGGAGAGTAAGAGATTACTTGGTGGTGGTGTGTGTGGGGGGGCGATGTGTCGTGTGTGTGTGTGTATGGTGTGTGTGTGTGTGTGTGTGTGTGTGTGTGTGTGTGTGTGTGTGTATGTGTGTGTGTGTGGGGGGGGGGAGTGTGTGTGTGTGTGTGTGTGTGGGATGTGTGTTAGTGGGTGGGTGTATGCGTAAGCGTGTGCGTGGGTGGGTGTGCGTGTGAGTAGGGCGGTGAGGTGATGGAGAGTGGGAGATGCTTGAGTGTGGGGTAAGAGCTACAGCAGCCCGTGCCACACGCTAGGTGCGCGCTGCTCGCCTGGTAGCGGTGGAGAGCAAAGTGCGGCCAGTCTGCAGCATGGCTGATAAGCCGGGGCGACGTCGGTCGAGGGCCGATGTTGTTGACAGCGTATTGATCCGGCAGCGGCATCGTTGGCTGGGTAACGTCGGGGCCACGGCGCCGCTGCCGCCGCCCGCTGCCTGCCTGCCTGCTTTCCAGCCTGCTTGCCTGCCTGTCTGCCTGCTTGCCTGTCTGCCTCCCTGTCTGTCTCTCTGTATGCCTGTCTGCCTGTTTGCCTGCCAGCCTGTGTTCGTGTCCACCTGACTGACTACCTGTTCTGTGCCCGGCTGCATGCAGTACGCTGGGCCGGGTCCATTGAACGTAACGTTGGCTCACGCGTGAACGATGGGATCACGCGTGGTTCACGCTTATGTTAATAGTATACGAGCGCAAAAGCGCGGCCTTTACGCGCCGAGCTATCATTGTTTAGGCGTGGGCCTGCCTTTACCTGCGAGTCAGCGTTCACGCGTGAACGTTAGCTCGCGCGTGGGCCGTCCACGCGTACAGCACGGTGGTGGCAGATAGACGCGAACGTCTGGCGACAAGCACACGCTCTTGCTGCCAGCGCAGGAAATGGAGACGGAGGTCGCACAAACAGTGACGAGAAAAAATCGCAAATTGTCGGCCGCCGAGTCGGTCGCCCGCGGTGAGTCGCTATGGTGACCGAGGACAGCGGAGTAATCGCTGAATGACGGCGCGACGAGCCGTGCAGGCAGGCGAGAGGGGCATGTAGGGGGCGCGTGCGCGGGGGCAACACGGGCTGCGGTGTCGCTGTTGAAATAGAGCGACTAAAATAGAAGAAGGAACAGGAGAGAGAGAGAAAGAAAGAGAAGGGGGTGGTAAAGATGAAAAGCGAGAGGCGGGAGAGAGTGGGGAATGAGAGTGTTGACTAACGTATGAGGCCAAACAACAGCTTTTCATGAATACTCCATCACCTCCCTTTGAGCTTTCACTAGATAAGACCGATCGCAGGAGTGAGAAGCAGGAAATATTAATGAATGAGGTTGAACCATGAACTAACTCAGTGAATATATAATAAATGAATGTACATATTAATATTATAATTAATAATTAGGGCGTAAAGCGGTTGTGCGTATGAGTGAAACGATGGAAGAGGAGGGAGAAAACAGAACGAGAGAGATAAATATAATTGAAGGGGGAGGAGGAGGTAAAATGGAGAAGGTTAAAGGGAAAGACTGCAACAATAGAGCGGGGAGAAATGCGGGGAAAGATGGAAGGAAAGAACCGCCGAGAGAGCGAGATTTAGCGCGAAGCAGATAAGAGCAGAAGATTAAGGTGCATTCCAAAATCGGCGAGTTAAAAAGATAGTGATGAGAGGGAGTAAAAGACATAGCGAGAGGAAGTAAGAAAGAGACAGAGGTTGGAAGGAGGTGGCGTGAAGGAGGGTAACGCTATATACCAGGTCAACATGAGCATAAACAGGCATGGTTTACGACAATGTTGCCCCGTCTTTCTTCTTAGCGACATTACCCTTTCTTCTTATCATCCCCTCTTCCTATCCCTTTTGTCATCCTTATCCTCCTTTTCTTCCTAATCTAGCAAATTCGATCAGCTAGCCAGTTAACTTCATAGGACTAAAATAGAAGAGAAAACAGACGCGAGAAAAAGTGTGCGAAAGACCACGAGAGAGGAGAGGAGAAGTGGAAGAGAGAGCGAGAGAGAGAGAAAAGAGAGAGAGAGAATTGCGAGAGCCAGTCAGCCATTCAATCAGTTAACCAGCTACCCGGCAGGCCAGCCTCTCAGTCAGTCAGCCAGTTCAGCAGCCAGCCAGCCCGCCTGCTATCGGCGCTGTTGACCGTAGCTATGGCGTCGACGGCGTTCCGGTTTGTCCACACCGTATTGACCAAGCTACCGCACTCGCGCGCGCGCCGCCGCCGCCGCCGCCGCCGCCGGAGAGAGGGCCCGCAGTGACTAGGTTATGGATTTTTCCGTTCGTTTAGCGCAGGTCCCTCGAACGCGCGCGTGAGGCGCTGTAATTTGGAGAGCGGCTCTCGAGTCGTGCCAGGTGAGGGCTATGGACCGGCGCATTATCGATCTCTCGGCAGGCCTGCTACTGCTGCTGCTGCTGCTGCGCGGATAGAGCGGGAGGGAACGCGAGCAGCGGCTCAGGCGGGTGGAAGCCGGGCTGAGTGCGCGCGTGTGCGGGCGGGGCGAGCCGGAAAACTGCGCGCGCAGAACGACGGGGGGGGGATGACGAGAGGCGGAGGGATGATGAGGGGTGAGATGAAGAGCAATAGGAAGAGGAGGAGGTAGAGGAAGGTTATAATGATGATGATGAGGAGGAGGAGGAGGAGGAGGAGGAAGAGGAGAAGGAGGGGGAGGGGAAGGAAGAGGAGGAAAATCAGGTAGAAGAGGAGAAGGAGATGGAGGAGGAGGAGAGGAGGAGGAGGAATAGGAGGAGAAGGAGGAGGAAGAGGTGGAGGAGAAGAGGAGGAGGAAAATCAGGCAGAAGAGGAGAAGGAGATGGGGAAGGAGGAGAGGAGGAGGAAGAGGAGGAGGAAGAGGGGGAGGAGGAGGAGGGGAGGAGGAGGAGAAGGCGAAGTGAAAGGATAATAAAGATGAGAGAAGGAAGTAACGGAAATGTGACAGAGAAGAAGGCGACAGGTATAAAAATTAGGAGAATGAGGAGAAATAGGAGCAGAAGGAGGAACATGAGAAGTACGTTAATCAGTATCCGAGTGACGAGGTTATGCGTGAGGCACCCTGTGCGGCCGCGAGGATGGCATTCGTGCTCAAGCATCGGGCAGGAAATGCGACGAATAGGGTAGAACTTGGCGTGCAGAAATAAAGGAGAGTGGTGACTGCTGCGTTAGGGTACTCGGGACTAGTGTGATCATAGATATATACAACACGTATGTATGTATGTTATGTGTTGTATATATCTATGGTGGGATACAACAGCGAGTGGGGAAATGGAATAGGCGAGATATATGAGTGGTAGGACGGACAAGTGACGGGGTGGTGGGACAGGAAGGGGATGAAAGTCAGTGAGATCGAAACGATTTTTATTCGGGATGGTCCCGGCAATTGATGATATACGTAGTAATATAGCTCTGAGAGATGGCACCGCATGCATAATTTCAATGTGAATATATCCAAAGGCAAATGTTAACCGTTGAGAAAAAACAGATATAAATATGTTAACTCGCACACAGAGAGATGAGGATGCAGCGTCGAGTCACCGAGGTTTACCATAATACATTTCTGTTCTCACAGAGAAACTTAGAAATCCTACATCTAATAAACGAACAAGAATACACCAATGCAACGCCCGCGTTTTGTTGCTTGTTTTTGTTTTGTTAATTGTTAGGTTTTTATTGTTTTAATTGTTTGCTTGTTTGTGTTTAATGTTTCTTTTTTACGTGGTTCGGTTAATTGGTTGCTTGTTAATTTGGTCGCTTGTTAGTTCGTTTTGTTTTGTTCTTTCTTTGTTTATTTGTTTGTTTGATTGTTTGTTTGTGTTTGTTTGTTTGTTTGATTGATTGATTGAGTGTTTTTTTGTTTGATTGTTTGTTTGTTTGTTTGTTTGGACGTTCGCTTGTTCAGACGGCTTATGCCGCTTGCACTGCTCTGTCTGATTTATTTTTTTATTTTCTTTGAAAACTTACCAGATTCTTGGTGGGCACGAACAGCACGCTCTCGCTCGGCTCGTCAGGATTGGAGTCCATCTTGAAACCCTTCGCCTTCACCCAGAAGCGAAACTTTGAGTTCTCGTTCGTCGCGTCCTCTCCGGCTAGCGTCCTCACGATGCGGTCGTGCTTGCGTTGCGTCACCGTCTTCGTCTTGCCGCTGTCTCCGTACGTCTGCAGCGACCATCCTCGGAATCCTTCGAACATCTGATGCGTTTGCGGAGCGTTTCCCCCTCCTCCTCCTTCCCCTCCTCCTCCTCCTCCCCCTCCTCCTCCTCCTCCTACCCCTCGCTCCTTCCGCGTCTCCTTCGCCTTGCCCATTGTCGGCTGCAAATAAGAAAGACACTGTTCAGCGGTCGGTCATTCCTGCTCAGGGCAAGATGTCTCCGTCGTCGGTCAGACGGACAATGCATGTCGCTGCTACGCGGCGCGCTAGCAGACGCGGCGCGCGATCTAAAAGTATAAAACTCGTAACTGCAGCGGCAGATACGGCGGCAGCGGCAGTCGGCAGCAGCGGCAACGGCGGCAGTGGCGGCAGCGGCGGTGATCGAATGTTAGACAAGCAGCCGAATGTGCGGACGGCCACGGGCGCCGACGTGGTGTCCCGGTCGTATATACGTATATATATATATATATATATGGACGCGCAACTGTAAAACTTGCCCGTGGAATTTTCCCCGCACGGCGTTCTCCGAAAATTTTCGCTTGCCTTCGTGCGCCAGGCAATTACTGCTGCTGTTGTTACTGCTGCTGCTGTTGTTGCTGCTGATGATGCTACTGCTGCTGCTGCTGCTAATGCTAATACTACTGCTGCTGCTACTGCTGCTGCCGCTGCTGCTGCTGTTGTTGCTGCTGATGATGCTACTGCTGCTGCTGCTGCTAATGCTAATACTACTGCTGCTGCTACTGCTGCTG